AACGAGTCCTCCTTCTCCTCCTGCGACGGCGCGTCACAGGGCTTGATTCACTCGATGCACTTGATTCGGCACTCGATGCACTGGACGATGCACTTTATTCACTGGAAGATGCACTTGTTTCACTGGAAGATGCACTTGACTCGGCGCTTGGCACGCTCGACTCGGGACTCGGTTCACTTGACTCGGGACTCGGTTCACTTGACTCGGGATTCGGTTCACTTGACTCGGGATTCGGTTCACTTGACTCGGGATTCGGTTCACTTGACTCACTTGACTCGGGACTTGACTCACTTGACTCGGGACTTGACTCACTCGACTCGGCGGCACTTGACTCACTCGACTCGGCGGCACTTGACTCACTTGACTCGGCTGGCACGCGCTCAGACTCAGTAGAAAACTCTTGAGGCAGGAATATAACGGAGCTTACGTGAAGTGTTAGAACGTCGGGATTCACATGTTGCGTGGATACGGCGGACCCTTTACGAAGCGCTGGTTCAACTGGGCTTTCATGTAGCGCAAACTCGGCTGTACAGCGGTTGAACCTGCTGTACAGCGCTCAGACCTGCATTGGCTGACTGGGAGGCATACAAGGCTGCTGGATCCTGTTGTGGCGAAGTCTTCTGTAACGAAGAGGCTGAGTCGTGCGGATCCATTCGCAGTAACTTTATTAAACAGAAAAGCACACAGTGAGAAAACAGGCAAAGATCAGGGAACCAGGAAAACCAGGGATACTTGGAAATGTCTGCAGGGCAAAACAAGACTTCGCAATGGACACAGGGATAACTCAGGCTTAAGACAGGTGCGCTAAACAAGATAATAAAACACAGGTGCATAAAATCAACCATGATCAGTTCAGGGTAAAACATAATGGGAATAATAAACTAGGAAGGAGTGCCCCCCAGAGGCTCAAGCGGGCACTCCAGCCGCAGATCATCACAGGGACGAAGATTGGAGTTTATAGAGACCAAATATGCCACACATATGATTTTGGTTAACCATAGTATGCAAAGTCTGAAACATTAACCCATTAGAGTTTACAAGAAAACATAGGCCAAACAACATAAAGGAAAATAATGAGATGGGAAAGTTAGATACATGTATATGCATTTCTCAAGTGGATATACGTATATAGAATAGGCTTAACAGGGTTAATTTCTCCTTCTCAGCGAGAATTAAGTGAGTCGCCACAACTCTCTGGAAATTCGTTTGGGGTCGTAAAACTTGTTATCAGTCTTAATGTGTCCTGTTAACAGGACACCAGATTCTGCCAGTGGGTAGGCTTCATTTGTGATGTTAGTTTTGGGGGAAGTTCCACAGACCTTTGTTGGGAGAGTGAGATTGCTGGATTATTCATGATTTGTGTGTGTCTGATTGGTCCAGATGCTACACATTTAATCAAAAATACTTTGCCATGAGAAAAGACAGTAACACGCAGAGACCTTCACCCGCTGATCGGATGCCTCCATTGGGCCGATCGAGCCGGGCCTTACACAGCCTTGGTGAACATAATACACTTCTTTCAAAAACATTTAAAAAATCCTACCGACCCCAAACTTTTTAGCAGTAGTGTGAAGTCAGTTGCAATTCATATAATGGACTCTAATGGAAACATTAAGTTATTGGTAACACTTTACAATAAGGTTCATTAGTTATGCATGAACTAATAATGAACTGCACTTATACAGCATTTATTCATCTTTGTTAATGTTTATTTCAACATTTACTAATACTTTATTAAAATCTTGTTAACATTAGTTATGTGAACTAACACGAACAAACAATGAACAGCTGTATTTTTATTAAGTAAAGTTATCAAAGAATAATAAATACCGTAACAAATGTATTGCTCATTGTTAGTTCATGTTAGTTAATACATTAACTAATGTTAACTAATGAAACTTATTGTAAAGTGTCACCAAGTCATTTTATTTTCATGCTCCATAACTGCTCTGATGATGTGTAACTCCAAGGAAGCCTTTAGAAACACTGGGATGCTGTTGTGCTGCATAAAGAGCAACATGGTCAGCTAGCTATAGGCTTTGCTGGTGAACCAAATCTAGTCCATCATCAGCGCCAAACCAGCACAAACCCTTCTGGCCCTCTAAGCTGATTTTTTATTTTTTCAGCATTGGATCTGAACATTAAGAGATGTTGTGTACCTTGCACTGTTTACTGCTATAGTAACAAAATAATATCATAAGTTCAGAAGAGGGAACAGACTCTGCATTCACAGGGCTGGAAGCACTGACACAGTGTGACTCGAGAGGAATTTCATTTCGTGGGATGTGACTGTATTAGCTGCATGAGGGCTGCGTAGGGCACCACGGGCACTGGTGAGGATGTCAATTACACAAAATACTGACCTCACGCTTTTCAGCATGCACCATTTATTACAGCAGTCAAGAGTCTGTAATCACAGAGGAGACCTTGTGTCTTTACTGTGAATTAATCTGAAAGAGTGGTCTTAAATTAAAAATTAAGTCAAGACATCAATTGGTGAATGTTGTTCATTGATTGAATCAGAGCTGTTGAGGAATATATCATACCAAAGAATGTAAATGTTTTTTTTGTTGTTGTAAAGTTGTTCGAAAAGCGGTCACAATAGGGAAGCGTTTCTAATGGTGGCATCAGTTTTTCGATTAAGTTATTTCTTAGTCAGAGTACTTATTTTGAATAAGTAATTACTTCACGACCGCTAAAAACTAAAAACGTATGTTTTATATAGGCTTGTATTAGTGTGTAGTATGAGTGTAATCTGGACGTACTACATTTCCCATGTTGTCATTATCATGTGACCTACCAGCGTCAGTTACGTCTCCTCACTGCCATTCACAAATCATCTCCCGTGGCCTCATGGGATAGTAAAGTGTCCATCGTATGCACACTTCAGAATCTCGCCGGAAGTAAGTCATCCGGGTAGGCCTACATTTTGCCTACTCTTTTATGAGTACTGTGAATTCAGATATACTTTTGTCACATACTGTTTTTTAGGGGTGTGCAAAAAAAATCGATTCACATTTGAATCGCGATTCAATCTTTACCGATTCAGAATCGATTCATAGAATTCCAAAAATCGATTCATTTTTTTTATGGCGTGGACGGGCGGAGTGGCAATCGGGTGAGTCGGGACTTTTACCGGTGGTCCAGTAGTGTTTCGAGGCTGCGAGGGCCGGTCTGATAAATAGTTACATTGCAAGTTCTAAACCGCACTCGTATAGTTTTTTCTCTCTCTCATCAAAACCGAATATGTTCATCACGTTTGTGTGCATTGTATTTTGTGATTTCACCGGAGTCTCCACAACGGCAATAGATTGAAGCGCGCGTCCGAGTGAAGACTGCGCGAGCCACACAGACTGTATCCATGACACTGATAGCAGCGGCAACGAGCGCTCAGCTTGATTTAAAAAACAACAGATCTCTTATTTAATAGCGAATTAAATGAATGCTCTGCTAGTTAACTGGAGATACCCGCAAATTACGCCTATGAACGACTTCACTGGATCTAAACAAATCAATCTAACTAGATGCTACCAGTAGCGGTGGCTTTTTAAAATCTATTTAAAATATTTTCGCAAGGGTTATGACAATAGTATATATTTTTAGGAAATTCAATGTGCCCAGTCGAGTTCACATTTCAACAGTCAACCTGGTAGCTGTAGTACTCCTTACACCACATTTAGCATAATTGTTTGTTTGATCTGACTACAGCACTTTAAACCTAAATGTAAAAGCTTTTTATTTAAGTTTTATTTTAAACTTGAATTAAATGTATTTGAAAGCTGGCCAAAGCTTGGCACTTTGCACTTTTTAGTTGCAAAAGTTTTTATTTTTGTATGAAGACATATAAAGTAATATCAAACTACATTTAATTAGTTTGATATTACTTAGTTCTAGTTTGCTCTGTTAGATCTTTTATTTTTAAGACTATTCCACCTACATTTTACCCTAGCATGAAAGAGATGGATTGTTATTATGTTCTGACTTTGTGGACTAGGAGAAAAAAGACATTAATGCTACAGCTAGTGTGTTGACCCTGGTCAAATCTTTAGGATCTTCAGTGTGACATTCACTTGACACCTATACAATTGCTCATTCTCAAGAACATCAAAGAAACGAGGGGAAAGGCACAGAAAATGTGCTAAGATTCCCCTTTCTTTCTTTTTCTTTCTTTCTTTCTTTCTTTCTTTCTTTCTTTCTTTCTTTCTTTCTTTCTTTCTTTCTTTCTTTCTTTCTTTCTTTCTTTCTTTCTTTCTTTCTTTCTTTCTTTTCACCATTTAACTTGATTATTTTGAAATTTTGAACCCTTTGCATGTTCTTGCTGAATACCGCATGAATTAAGAAAGCTCATGTTAAAGATATAACTACCCCATGAAGGCACAGTGAGATACGGATAGCTCGGGATACTGTGTCGTTTTGTACTGGGGTGCACTAGGACTATCTCTATGACTGCAAGCTGTTGAAATAAGTCATTTCAAACCACATGACAAGAAAACTTGCCAAAGGAATTAACTGAAAATAGAGCCTCGTGTGAAACACAAGAAGCATATAAAGCAAGAAGTTAGGGTTTTACAGGGTAAGGTAAAGGGATTAGTTATTCCCTAAAAGTATATTCTTCCATGGTCAGTATTCTTAGACAATATTTTGTGGTTACAATAAATCTTTGATACGGTGTCCAGGACTGCACCCACAGAAAACTAAATATAAAACATATCAAGTATTTCAGTCCTGTCTGTTCAATAGTACTGTCAGCAGAGATGTCACTGTCAAAACAGTGCATCACAATGGGAGTATTTAATGGTTTGTGTTCATCCCCCTCTACTGGAGAGGTGGGTGTGCATTGTATATCAGGCCTGTCTGCAAGAGTTGATTGGAAGGTCCATGTTTGTTGATAAAAAAAAAAAAAAACATTTTCAGAAATTATTCAGCAACACATAGCCTACATTATTTTTTTTTTTATTTACACTTTTTCCGACAAGGAGTGTATTCATGTAAGAGAGTATATGAACTTTGAATTTACCTTTATGACAGACACTTGTGAAAGCCTTTTTAATATAAAATATGTAAAAAAAACATTCATATAAATTATACATATTTGTTTTGAGAAAAATATTGCCAGTGTCATGAAATGAATAGCAAACAATTTAGGGGAAAAAAGTAGTATTAAAACTATGAAATATTCAATACTGACAGATTTAAGGTTTGGCTAATGATAAAATCACTGTAAGCAACACTGATATGAAAACTCAGCAGAAGAATGCGATGAGATGAAAAACTACATATTTAACACATATAAATTACAAATACAAACACTTTAATGATTCAAACACTGTCCCTTAGAGTTACATATCTCAGCAATAAGACAGCTGATGCCACTCTCAAGTCTAATTGGATACATCTAGGTCTTTGGCCTGTCTCTATTTAAATGATTAATATGGATCACATATTACAGCATCCGTTTACACCTGGTATTAAAATGCGTTTTCGTCGATCTGATCACAATTGGACAGCGCTAAATGAGACGGAAATGAGAAGAATCCTCAAATGTGCTGTGCTGGCCTGCAGCTGGAGTGGGACTTCCTGTCATGAGCCCATTTGTACAGTATCTGCAGCTCTGGACAGCTTCTCCTGACAGAAATGCTCTCCTCGGTGTATGTTCCTGCATGATGCTACGAGTAAATGGTGATGACCTCCCTGCCACCACCTCGGACCAGCAGCACCCGCTCCAATCCATCTGTGAGGACCTCCAGGAACTCCATGTCTGAACTCAGAGTGAAGGAAAAGTGTGGAGAACTGCAACTGCTCTGCTGTATATGAAGGTGACATTTAAAGAATAACTCTCAGTCTGAAAGAAAATGACAGACTATGTTATCATGATTCTTTCCATTACCCTTCAGCTATATAACAGCCCGTTTCAGTAGATGTGCCACTGTCTGCATTTCAGCTGATGAAAGGATACAGTTCTCATCCCCGCCCTGGTTTTTGGGTGGTCCTGGCATGTTCAGCAGCACCAGTTGGGCTCCCTGGGATTTGTTAACTACAACCTCATTCAGTTTCACTGCAGTGTGCATTCTTCTCACATTAGTCTGATCCCTGTGAAAAATTCAGTCATTCACATTTAGCATCAAAACTTAGTTTTTAAGACTTTAGACTTTGATAAATATGAGAAATCGTATATAAAGTGTACACTTTATATATGAAAAGACCAATAACAACTCGATATGGAAATAAATATAAGAAAGAAAGAAAGAAAATATTGGTATATGTCATTTAAATATTTTTTACAAGCACCATCATTTAAAAGTTTAGGGTCAGTAAGATTTTTAAATGTTTTTGTAAGAAGTCTCTTATCCTCACTAAAGCTGCATTTATTTGATCAACAATACAGTGAAAAAAGTAATATAATAAAATTTAAAATAACTGTTTTCTATTTTAGTATATTTTAACATTTTATTGATTCCTGTGATGGCAAAGAGGTCCACTTCAGTGTCACATGATCCTTCAGAAATCATTCTAATATGCCGATTTGCCATTCAAGAAACATTTATTATTATTATCAATAGTTGTGTTGCTTAATATTGGTTGTGGAAACTGGTGATTTTATTCTTCTGGATTCTTTGATTAATTGAAAGTTTTTGTTTGAAATATATATTTTTTGCAACATTATAAAAGTGTTGTTACTTTTTATCAATTCAATTCATCCTTGTTAAATAAAAGTATTCATTTCTTAAAATTAGTAATAATATTAAGCCTACTGACCCCAAACTTTAGAATTTTAGTGTATGTTTGTAGTTAGTAGTGTATGTCTGAAGAAATCATTGGTAAAGTTCCTTTAGCAGAGATTCATACTTGTTTGTTTATGATATCAGTGAGCATATTTCTTTGTGTTTCCTTAAAAATGGTTTCAAATATGATGGGTATTCAGTGCTAGGAATGATTGATAACCTCATTGATAGAGATGTGGAGAAGTATTAGACTTTAGAATTCTCCAAGGCCAGTTTTTACAAAGGAATATATGAAGCAACCATCTACTCCTAAATGAGTGAAATGTAAAATAAATGTACAATTCATCTAAATGTTAATATTAAACATGAATTAATAACCAAAAACATCTCAACAGCAAAAAAAACCAACAACATAAAAATGTGTTATTCTTATCATTAATCCAATGAAATGGACTTAGCACTAAAACTAATGAATACCATAATGATAGCTGACTAACTGTAGATGTTATCTCTAAGCACAAAGTTAGTGTTGATACACATGCAGACAGAAACATCTCTGTCACGACTCTTCATGCTGACACATGCCGTGGCTATGACTCACACTGACTTAAGCAGGCCACACACAGAGACACACACCAAACTCATGCTGCATGTTTAGTGTGACACACATGCAACACATCCTGTTTACATCTACTACTGTAATACAGACCAGACAATTAATGCAGACCCTTTAAGCACATCAACCATTTGCATAAGAGTCAAAGGAACTTACAGATTCTCCCACTCTCTGGAAGGACAAAACAAAATATCTTGGTGTGAAAAAAACTAAACCATTTAATTATGAAACATGATAAAACCGTTCAGATAAACTGCAAAAATGGACTTGATCTATGAACTCACGGTTTCATATTGAAGATGTCCCGCACAGTCATGTTGGCCTCCCGAAGGCGGTTGCGCTCACTAATCAGCTTCTCTTTGGTCCAGGTCATATGGACCCGGTCGGACGTGGGTGTGGGCTTGTCGTTCTGAACGGCATGTGATTTAGTGTTCCTGTCATGAATCAGCTGAGGCTGAAAGAGCAAGACACACTGTTTACAACAATAAACTGCATTAACATAAGGTGAAAATGCTGCTGGAAAAGCAGGTTAACAGGACCTAGATAGACAAACTTTGTTAAAAGACTGTGCTGAAAAGATCAGCTTGGGCCAATGTGAATTTCCATGGTGGTCCAGGCTGGTTTATGCTGGTTGCAGATCAAGGTGGTTGACAAAGTAAGTTTTGCTCAATAAGCAATCAGTATTTAAAACCAGTTGTGCTGATCTTTTCAGCAGGGGAATGAGTGTTGCAGGAAGGTTGCGATACCCACAAACACAAGTTATGGATTAGTAACCAGACTGAGAGTCACTGTCAGTTAAGACCAAACACTCTGTACATAATATACAAGTAAATAAATGTATACACTACTAATCAAAAGTTTTGGGGTCATTAGGATCTATTTGAAAGAAATTAATACTTTTATTTGACAAGGATGCATTTAATTGATCAGAAATTACAGTAAAAACAAGTCTTTCAAATAAATGCTGTTCTGTTGAACTTACTATTAATCAAAGAAGAATAATAATAAAAAGTTCACAGTTTCCACAAAAATATTAAGCAGCACAACTGTAATAACAAGAAATGTTTCTTGAGCAGCAAATCAGCATATTTGAAGATTGGAGTACTGGCTGCTGATAGTTCAGCTTTGCTATCACAGGGATAAATCACATTTTAAAATTTGTTCAAATAGAAAACAGTTATTTTAAATTGTAATTATATTTTACAATAATCAAGCGTAGCGTCAGTTCTGGCAGGTCACGTTAGTCAAGCTTGCATCAGCTGACTCTCAGCTGATCCACATCTACCTATAGGAATACGACGCCTATCACTGTATACATATATAAGCTCCTTCAGTATTATCAGCAGCTATATCGCGCTTCTCAGGAGCTTATTCCCCTCCATCCCCAGCTCCTCCTCTCGTCAGTCAGGATTTGACATTCTGATTACCCCTGAATCAGACTAAAATTCTCTAATTATGCTGTACTTTAAAATCCTGAATTAATGATATCTGCAATACATTCATGTTGGTTCTGTTCTGTTTACCCTAAGGGGGGTTATTGCTGCTCTCCCAGCTCTTATACATACTAGGGATCTCGCACAGAACGGAACCATACTGCCAATCCTAACTGTATGCTATTGTCAATCTTATTTGACGATAGTGGTCCTGACAGAATGACTGTTTTACTGTATTTTTGATCAAATAAATGGAGCTCTGGTGAGCATAAGAGACTTCTTTCAAAAACTTTACAAAAAATCTAACCGACCCCAAACTTTTGAATGGTAGTGTAGTTCGATTATAACAAAGCAGTAATAGAGCTGCACGTTGAGCTTCACTCAAAATTCAGAAGACGAGAGACTCTCTTAACTCATGCTCTATAATGACATGCAGACATGCTGTAAACAAATAAAATCTTGACATTTTCAGGGCCACAGTCATTTTCATTGCCCTGCTTTGCTTGTTGCTAAATAATAAGGAATTTTCAAATATATGAGGTGAAAACCATAGCAGAATTATAGTTGCAAAAGGCATCTCCTGATGAAAGCTGTGGCTCTGTCATGTCTCACAATGTGAATGGATTATCACTTTTGGGGCTGGTGCCAGAAGCCATTTCCCAATCTGGAACAGAGCTGCGTTTTAACACACAAAAAAACCCTGATGTACAAATCCTAGTCTCTCGAACAAGAGAACCTGTGATGTCAGTGGGCAGAAATTCCACAGCTCCCAAATCGGTGGAAACACAAGTAATCTCTGAGCAAGTACCAACCCTAGTTGAGCACCGGCTCCAGCTCAGGCACCAGCCCCGGTAAAAAAGAGGTGGTTTGGATGGAGCACTTCAGCAGAGTTATACAGGATGGTTATCTAATGGTAGTAGCCTTGACAGAGAGTGAAAATAGGTGATCGGTAAGAGGTAAACCCCTGAGCTACCTCGTCCAGAATTACAGTTGGCACTTGTGACTTATTCTTGTGAGATGTTTTCTGGCCGCAGGGCTTCCTCCTGATGGAATTCCGGGATTCATCTGAGATGCTTTGAATCTGGCAGTCGCCACAGAGCAAACAATCCAAAATTGTTAAGTAGGAGGAAGAGGCTTTATGTAAAACAGTGCTCTAACTTACTCTAATGCAAGTAATGCCTTAACTTATAAAACTTAAATCTAAAACGTATGATTCTGTGTGAAGTGTATTGAGTGCAACCATAATGATTTATGTCCCGCATAGTCCCATAATAACCTGACAACAATGCCAAAAGAACAGATTGCTCGAGAAATATTACCTCTCTCTCCCGCTCTGTCTTAGAAAGCTGCATCTGCTTCAGCATCTGAGAGCGTTGTTCCATCACAAGGGTCTTCTCATAGGTGAAGGCCGAGATATCGCCTGCATGCTACAGAGATAATGACATAGTGGCCAGTGAAGTCATACCTAAAAGTGCAATTCCAGTATACCTTGCAAACATTCCATCATTATAATATAATATAATAATTAAAACTTTATTAAAACATGATAATGTGTCAAAATTGTATCCCACCATTTCCACAACTTCCACCTTCGCTTCAAGACGCAAGTGGTACAAGAACGTCTGCAGGTCTTTCTTCATCTGGATGCTGTTGTCATCCATCTGAGCCACTGTGAAGATCCTCATCTTACACTTTCTCCAAACCTACATGATTTCAGGGCAGGGAAAAGCACTGTGTGAAATCTATAGTTGAATAAAAGAGCAGCGCTGCTGTATCAGACATTCTGTCGCCTTCTACCTTGTGCTGGCGGAGCAGGAACGGAAGAAGCATGAGTAGACCACCATCATGGACAATCCACCAGACATCAATGGTACCCTCAGCTAACCGGTCCTGGTTTGTGGGAAATGTATCAATGTTTTTCGCCACTAACAGGGCCTGGTGGGCAGCTGTTGTCTCTCTGATGGTTTCTTTTGGGGGGAAAAATTAAATAATTTTTACTATTTTGTCAAACTGATTGATATTTCATGCAATGTTTTTACACCATTGTGAACATAATATTTCACAAACTGATCTGGAATTATTTGAATTACTCCTCTTTAACCAGCTTTTTTTTTTCTCTGTACTTTGAGACCTAAAGCCTTCAACAGTTCGCTCATAATAAAGCTCAGCTACCGTCTCAACTCTTATAATCATCATCAATAATCCCTGACCTCATTGCCTTAAGCCAGGGGTAGGCAAGTTCGTTCCTAGAGAGCCGCTATCCTGCAGAGTTTGGCTCCAACACTGAAAAAACCTCTCCTGCCTATAGCTTAAGTAATCCTGAAGACATTGATTAGCTTGTTCAGGTGTGTTTGATTAGGGTTGGAACTAAATTCTGCAGGACAGCGGCTCTCTAGGACCGAACTTGCCTACCCCTGCCTTAAGCTGATTATCTGACTTTCTAGCAGCTTAGTATCAGAAAATGTCAAGTGCGCACCAATGAAGTTCTTCCAGGAGAGGGAGCTCTCTGACTGTTTCCAATTGGCGGGCCAGGCCACCAGCACAGCATTGTGTTTCATGCCACCCAGGCCTGCGGACTGGATCAGGTGAGAGAAACCATCCCGCTGATTAGAGGACACCACCACATGACAGAAACCCTTAGTTTTATCTTTTGCCATGGCTGCTTTGATATTCTGTGAAGTACAAAAACATGGACATATGTTAATAAAACTCAATCTATAATACATTTTAATACAAATGTGAATTCAATAAAATGTACTGACTACCAAGCATGGGAGCTGACTGAGTGCATATGCTGTCAGAAAGGCATATGCATAAGCATATGTCTAGTTTAATTACTACTAATCTCCAGAACTTTGTTTAACATAAAGACAACATTGACTACAGGTAGATTAAAAATGACTGGAAGGTCAGGATTCTAAAGGGGAATTTGTTTTTGTGACTGTCATGCAATGTCACCATAAGCCATAAACTTATTACAAGGACTTTCACTCTTGTGCAATCCAGTGGGTTAGGTTAGGCTCAAGGGCACAATGGTCACGGCTTGCTTCTTGCAGAGTTTGAGACAGAAACCTTCTGGTAACCAGCACTGAGTATCAAAATGTTTCATAAACTGTGTTAATCTTTGATGTGATACTATAGCCCTAAATTGGTGAAAACTTTGGCAACATATAATTGTAAGACTGGAAAAACTGGAAGCATCCTAATCTACATTTCTTTCCCTCATCCCCCACTCGAAGATCATCAAAAACTCACCCAAGAATCTAAATGGTTTCATGTGATTATCGAGTATTATACATGTTTAGTGTCATTTGAAATGTCTCAGGGTGACTAGTACAAATGTCTCAATCCCAAAGAGTAAAACAAAAGGTAATAAGGTTTTTAAGAGTTTAGAGATAACTGACACACAAAGGAAGGTAGGCAAATGGTCTCCTATTCTCAAAAGGTGTAACCTCTGAATGAAACTTTCCATTGTTAGCACGTTTCCATGTGAAAGAGGTTCTGTCTATATACTGAAATGCAGCAAAAGGATCGGGGCCTTCTGTACTTCAGATTATCCTGTGAGGCTGAGAGCGGCCGAGACTCTGAGCTTAATGTATTTCTTAATGTCGGGTTTGCATCTCTTCTCTTTATTCCATTTACCTGACATAATTAATTGTTACATTTGATTATTCTAACTGACTTTGACATTATTTTCATTAAAGAGTTAAAAAGAATAGTCAAACATTCGCTCACATTTAATGATGCACAGATATCATTAAAACCTTTTCATTTATGGAGTCAGATGAAATAACGAGAGAATACATATGAGAAAATGTATTGCATTTAATCAAATTACTTTGCCATGCGGAAAGACAGTAACACGCAGAGACCTTCCCCGCTGATCGGATGCCTCCATTGGGCCGATTTAGCCGGGCCTTACATAATATTGTCAGCATTTTTTAATGTACAAATGTAGTTATCTGACATGCATGTGACTTTTTCTGCCCCGTGAAAAAAAATCCCAAATGATTATTATTATTTGTCTTATGGTTGTAAGCTACCCTAAAGAGCAAGGTGACAAAACTATGCAGAAAATTAAAAGAATGTAAGAATTCTTTTATTTTCCCCCATTTGCTGAAAATAGTGGTACAGAAATTACACACTTAATTGGATGACAGAATCATCTCTGTATTTGACAATCATCTCTGTATTTGACAACTATCAAGTTGTCAAATGCAGAGGTTTGGCTTCAAGCTTATGCCTTCACCTGTTCAGAGAGCTTAGCATCTGCCCCACGAGCCATGTAGGTGCCCTCCAGCACTGAGCAAACGATAGTCAGGCCTTTCCCAGCCTTCAGCTGTGAGGTAAAGGAAAGCAGACGTGGATGTTTTACCCCCAGGTCAGAGTCCAACTTTAGGAGCACCAGCAGCTGAGGTCTGGAAGATGAGTTAAATGATATTTGCCTTAGATTTTTTTCAAATATGATGATTATTATATAGCGCTGAAGATGTGCTGGGAATGCTTGCCTCCAGTTCTTTGTGTGAGGTGGCGCCTCTTCCAGTTTTATTAAGGCATAACGAGCTGCGTTAAGGGATAATCCTCGAATCCCATCTCCCCATTCCTTCTCTGCCCTGAGGGGTGTTGGGGAAATGAAATCATCTCTTGAGTTAACATAGAACATTTAACCTAAAAAAAACAGTAAATCTGATGGACACTTGCTTACCCTCTGTATTCAATGTACTTGTAGATGCATCCAGCAATCAGTATGACAAACAAAGCATAGAACCAAGATGAGACAAACATGAGGGAGAGACTCAGGCTCATCCCAAGGAAAGAGAGGGACCTGCAGACATCCAATGGTGCATATAATGGTAGTTAATACAAGCAAACATTAACTCTAACGGCTCCATTCTACCTCAATTCACATGTAGATGGAACTAATAACCATTACACTACAGCTATTTGGTTAATGAAAAACCCATGTCCATGTAACAGCATGACATTGTTATCATGTAGGAAAACAGAATGTGCACTTCTAACAAAGCTGTTCATTGTTCCTTTGGAAATCATTAAGTGTGACTTGCCAGTGGTAGAACTTGAATCTTGGCCTCCAATTTGGGGTGCGTAGAAGTGTTTGGACAGCACAGGCCAGGTTTACAAAGAGGTAACACATCAAGAAAAACCTATAAAGTAGAAATTGAAACCAAGGTTATTATAGTTAAATAAAACTAAAACCATAAAAAACTTGAATTAAAATAAATATTAGCTGAAATAAAATAAAATTAAAAACACATATTTTACTTAAGCTAGTTGCCAAGGAAACATTTCTTATTTTCATTTCGTATAACTTGATGTACTAAAACAACCAAAACTAAAATAAAAATTCATGAAAACTATATAGACATTAAAAAAATAACAAGGTGAACAAAAATTTAAATGAAACCGGAAAAAAACGATTCAACTATTAAATGAAACTATAATAGTTTCTTAATGATACTAAAACACGGAATTCACAAACTGAGTAGCAAAACTGCATGTAATGGCCACAGTTATAGTGCAGGCACAATTACTGTACAGAATTTCACTGACACACATTTTTATAAAATATATTAAATTACGCATTTTAAAATAAAAATCCCTTACAATGAATGGTAAGTCTGTTCATCAAAACATAATTTTGACACAAATCTCTATTTGCCTGAAAGCTAAAATGATATTTGTGTAATCAACGCTGAGGATTTTTTTTCTTCTGCCCTGGTCGGGCCAATGGTTAGAATTTGTACTTGCCCTGCCAAAAATTTACTAGCCCTACCACAAAAAAAGTTATATAAAGTAATAATCAAATTACGACCAACAGCACAAATAATTACAATAGAACAAAGATGTAATGAAATAAACAGTGCTTTTCAGGTTTTTTTTTAGGTAGGTCTAACAATAGTTTTAAGGTAGAGAAATTGAATAATCAAATGTAAAATAACTTCACTGAATAAATTAAATACAGATTAATCCTGTTATATTCTGTAATATACTGTTACACATGTGTTTTACTTCTCAACTGTTTATGTTCACTTAAGACATAACCGACAATGTTACGAGGATACTCACCAATACGGGCATGTTGACATATTTTTGTGTGAATATGTCCATTCAAGTGCACGAAGACATAAAAGAGAACTCAATTCAGTATCCATGCGCTGAGAGGCGGCTTTCTGGGCATGAGCTTCGGATGTGTGTTGCGCACAAAACTTCACACAGCGAGTACCGAATTGAGTTCTCTTTCGTGTCCTTCTTGCATTTGAATATTTAAATTAGCTTACTAGACTTAAAAACACATGCAAATGATAAACTTTTGTGACGATGCAGCACTGCCCGATCGGGACAGTTGACCCCCCCACACCACACACACACACACACACACTCTTGTACATCTATCTTTATGAGGACATTCATTGACACAATGCAATCTCTAGCCGCTTACCCTAACCTTACTCATCACAACTAAGTGCTTAACCCGAACCCTTACCCTAAACCTACCCTTAACCCAATTATAACCTTATCCCTGAAACCAAGTCTTGACCCTCAAACAGGCCTTTAAAGGGGTCTCAGAAAGTGAGGACCGGCCAAAATGTCCTCACTTTACTCTCTTTGTCCTCACTCCAATGGTCTAAAACTCAAACTGGTCCTCACAAAGATAGTCGTACAAGTACACACACACACACACACACACACACACACACACACACACACACACACACACAGATTCCGCCTGGCCCTAGTTATATCACAAAGTAAAAGGTGAAAGCAAGGGGAACACACTCACATTGACAGGATGGGAGCAACATCATCTAGGGAAGCGATGAGGATCCCAATCTCACAGATGGCTGCAGTTAGGAGTAAGGCCCAGGTTGGCTCACCGTTAGCTTTACTATGACCAAACACCTGCCAGTGAGACATAGGTCATGTAAGTTACATCACAGGATTATAGTCAAGAAGACTATTCTCTCAACTGTGTTGCACACTTTCTTTTCTTTCTTTGTATATATTTTTTGTGAGCGAGAACATTTCAAACAAACACCTGTGCCTTAAGACATGTAAAGGTGCGTTCAACTAATACAACATCACAAAAAGAAAGCCAGGGCATGTTGTTACCTTTAAGAATGGCATGATGCCATCTCGAGCTATAGCCTGAAGGATCCTGGGAGCACCAGTGAGGCTCTGTAGGCCCGCCCCACAACATGAGAAAAACGAGCCAATCACAATCACCCATGAAGAAGGCCAAGCTAGTGTTGAAACAACTAGAGTGTTCTTAACTGAGTCTCCATACCTATTATGAAACCAAGCATGCAAAAAAATTAAAACACGAAGAATGTATTACATGCGAAAACTGTGACTGCAGGTCTTATCCGAATGGATTTATTACATTTTTGTAACCCGATGTTATTATATATTATTATTATCATTACCAAATAGCACTTACTTGTCTCGCAACACCACACCTTCAATACATGCTCCAAATAACACCACACAAGAAACGTCTGTTTAGCATAATTAAGGGGTTAATCTAGTTAAATAGTAAATGATAAAATTGTTTATAAAATGGACCGTTTAAAATTTTAAAATTTATTTTTTTTGCAGCAAAAAGATACAGATTAAGGAGGTGGTTGCAATAGCCAGAATGGTGCCAGTGGGAATGGACCTCTGAGGGTCTCTAAGATCTCCAGACCTGTTCGATCCAGCCATGATTCCTGTGAAAATCAGAGAAAAACATTTGATATGTTTCATAATACTTTTAAAACACCCTTTCCACAATCAAAAATGGTGAAGAAATTAATTTAACTACATTTTTTCAGTAGGGTTTTTAAACCACATAGTTTTTAAACCACATAGTATTTTAAGTAGCGAAGCTATTTTACTTATTTTAGTTAGCCACTTAGTGTTGACAGATTCTATAACGTCACATTTATTCCTTGAAAATATTTCAGCAATTCCTGCCAGAGATGCCCAACTAATGAATCACTTCCTTTCAAAGGATCAGCCAAGGAATCTTGAAATAAGTTTGCGATTCAGTCTGAATCTTTGTAGATCATTCATATTGGTTTCTAACTCTGTGAAAAGTTCTACTTTTGAAACAAATAGAGTGCTCGATGAACTGGATATTTTCCCACAATCCTTTTAAACTAAAACTACAGATGCATCCTATCGTTTGTACGCGGTGAAGATCTTTGTTATGTTTAACACCTGCGTACACTTTGAGGACAACTCTGAGCTGCAGGTAAATGTGATTTGCAGCCAATAGAGTATAAAAACACAAAAAATCCCCACAAGTACAAAGCTGTGTTCCCTTTCGAATGGGAACTTGCACCGCCTCCTAAGACGCTACTGGGGAACACCTCAGAATGACTGGTGTCTGAAGACCTTGTTTAATAGCAAAAATTGTATTGGCCATGACGTCACTAGTAGTGCGACCGTGAGGTATAAAAGGGTCTAGAGAACACGTCATCCTCTTTTTCGTCTTCAGGGACTGCTTTGTTTGAAGTATTTTAAGCGAAATGGCATGTGACAAGCGTTTCAATAAGTGTGTGGATCTGTGTCCTAGGTTTTTGACACCTGATGACACACGCCTTTGTGCATTGTTTGTTTGGGTGAAGAGCACGCACGCTCAGTCCTCGAGGGGGCTGTTTGCATGCATTGTGAACGTTTCCCTTTGAGAAAGCTCTGCTTTGGTTTGTCTCTCTTCTCGAGGGAAGAGGGACAGGCATCTGTACTCCACAGCTCAGGCCCTGCTCACACTGAGGCGGAGATGGAGCTCGCTGAAGAGTTCGAGAGAGGTGTAAATCTCTCGCGGGCTGACCACTCTGCTGAGGCCAATAGTCCATAGAGCTTTTAACAGACAGCAGTAATGGTCTAGAAGGCTACTCAGAGCCTCCTCTACTACTGTCTTTCTGGCACTGAGTGTTGCTAGGCTTCCTCTAGTTATAGAGAGTAATTTTGTTGAGGCCTCCGTTCTCCAGAGCCCTGGATAGCAGTGCTATTAGTATTTACATAATTCAGGCTCTCCTTTGAGAGTTCCTAAAACAATATGGAACTATCATATCGTAGGTATGAGCGTTGTTAGGCTTCCTCTCATTTAGAGAGTCATCATACTGAGGCCTCCGCTCCCCAGAGCTACGCGTAGAGCAGGGGTATTCAATTAAATTTCCAAGAGGTCCGGTCTCTAAATTTCTTTCCAGCGGAGGTCCAATATGGAAATATGGAATAAACACAACGTCTAAAGGTGCCACATGTTAACTTAGTTGTTACAAACCTGGTTTAGTTAAACGATCTGAGAAAATAATTGTATTTGCTGCATTTTTGTTTTCTGCAGTGTTTTAGAAAAATTATCTATTTTTCTGTTCATCATGTTTCTGTTGTTGTTAAAATAACCACGTCATCTGTAGCTCTTAATGCAGTGTATATACGTCTTTATTGGGAGAAAGCAACGCACATGGAGCGGAAAGGGCTTGAATGAAACGCTTTTAAATCCACAGAGCTACTATGCTCTGTAGGTCCTGGAGACCCCTTTTTTTTCGGGATGAGCATTAGCTCCCCATTTTCACTCCCCTCGTTTGGATGGTCAGTATGTTGAATCTTGCTCCCCAGGATAGGTCTCTGGAATCCATTGTAGGATGGTTATTGTCATTTTGCAATACCTTCTCATTGGATGCCTCTTATAAAGGCAAATTATAAAGATTCTGTTAAGAAAAACAGAGAAGCCTAGTTGTAGACTAACAAGGTTAAGAAAACAGAACAAATTAGCCCCCCCCCCTGGCGGTTCTGGTGGTTGACATTTAGGTCCCCCTTGAAAGTGACAGGCCAGGGTCCCTATGTTCTTGGCCATATTCCCTTAAAGGATGGTTCCAAGCCTCTGAGCTCGGCCATGGGTCAAGTCCTTCCATTTGACTTTGTGTAGGTACTTCCTCAATGAGGCGTGTAGCTTGGGCAGAGGCTGTAGGGTTGTGTCACCAACAGCAAATGCTGGTGTATACCTTTGGGGAATTTACCTCTGGCATTTCAGACCATTGAGTTAATTTTCTTGCACTTAATCACAGCTAATTCTGCATGCATTCCCCTCAGCATGGCGGCGTGGGCATTTGTTCCCCGGTTGTGTATTAGGACGCAGTGCAAATTCACATTCGAAAGGGAATGTCTCGGGTTACAAATGTAACCTTGGTTCTGTGAGAAGGGGAACGAGACACTACGTCTCTTTGCCATACTTCTGGACTGCCTGCATGGTCCCTTCAGACGAAGAAGCGAATGACATGTTCTCTAGGCTCCATTTTATACCTCATGGTCGCACTAGTAGCGATGTCATGGCTGTCGCCGGCCAATACAATTGCCGCGATTAAACAAGTGCTTCGGACACCAGTCATGCTGAGGCGTTCCCCAGTAGCGTCTTAGGACGCAGTGTCTCGTTCCCCTTCTCAGGGAACCAAGGTTACATTTGTAACCAGAGACATTTTGAGACATGAAGATTACACATTTAAGATATTTCTACCTACACAAAAACATGTATTAGATCAAAAAATAACCTCAAAATGAAAGTTCATAATTCAAACACATATTATTTCTTTTTTCCATGTGTAGCAAAATAATTTTTAGTCACATAGGCCTTCTGGTCATTTTCCCATGCTCCATGTGACCGTATAATTCGTTGAACTCATGAACCAGGTCAACTGAACTGATTTATAGAAACGATCTGTGGTCACCACTATTATGGGGCTTTTTGTCATTTTGGAAATTGAAAATCATAGTCCACACGCATCTACTGAAAATGGCCAGTAGGCTACTACAAAAATGTGCCTTTCTACAGAAGAAGGCCATAAAGGTTTGGCATTACATGGTAAAGGTGAGTAGATAAAATACATTTCCGTTTTCTATTTCTATTTCTTTCTCTTTTTTAAGTAAACTATACCTGTAACTGAGGGGAAGTAGATTCCAACCAGAAGGGTGAAGAAGGTGGCGATGTCATTAAAGACATAAGGCATTGAAATGTTCTTGTCCATGTTATCTGAAGCAGATTCTGATTTTGGTTCCTTCTTCTCCACTATCGCCATGTATTGTCCATAGTGTCCCCCCCACATGTTCTCTAGGAAGGAGAAACAGTAATACTTAGCAAATAACACTTGATTACCACTGAGTTACCTAAGTGAAGTCTTATGTTTGAGAAAATGAATCATCTGATAAAACAAATCAGCTGACTTTGCTTAATTTTGTTATCATTAAATGGGGTGGTGTATAACTACTTGTTTGAGTAAAATAAGATGTGTATAGTTTGCTGTGTATTTGTATTTGAGAAATCACCTGATATGGCCGTGCTGAGCAAGCCAGGAACAGCCTGAATCTCTGTCAAATTGTGAAGGGTGAAGTACTCATCACATGTTGCATTTCCTAAGTCACCTTTGCAAAAAAGATTCCACAGTTCGGTAGGGCGGGTTACATTGTCGATGACCTCCGTCTTTAGACACTTGTCAAAATCATAATTTTTCAAGAGGCGGTTGCCTAGTAGACAGATTCTGTTGATGCACAAGAGAGCATAGGCTAATTAATTGTGTAATTAAATTTGCTCCATAACATCTCATATAGGCTATCTTAAAATTGTAAACACCTTTATCATATTTCAATCGAATACTAAGGCATAGGCATTTCTAGATTTTATTTTGTTTTTTTGTTTTTTTATGGGTTAGGTTTTTGTTGTAACGTCACGCCTCGCTGACCTCAACATCAAACATGGACCTCGAGCGAATGAATGTGGAAGTTTAGAATCGGATATCATTTGACAAATTTCTCAAGTTCCAAAAGGAAAACCATAAAAGGCCTGTCCAGTCAAGCCTCACGGACGTCACGAGAATACGAGGTAGGCTAGGCTACTGTAGGCCTATGTGTTTTTAGTTTTGTTTTTAACTCAACAGCACCACTGAGGCTCCTGTGCGAGAGAGCGCGCACAAACGGCGAGAAATGCTCTGATTGGCTGTTTTGTGATTGATTGCGTTGCGTCGCTCTCAGTGTAGTAGATGGACAAATTGCTTGTAAACTTATCGCGTATTCGCGTCACTTTTGGTTAGGACACACACAACATAACAATTTTGCTTAAGCAATTTCCACTGCGCAGATTTTATTTTTTTCTATGTAAATATACGCTTGACAAACGTACGTATTTGACTCAATGCTATTTAGCGTCTCGTAGCTACATCAAACAAGTTCAACTTTTAAAAACGCCTCCGGAGACTGCGTTCCTGGTTCTTCTTTACCATTCAGCTGCGCTGGATGCGGTCATGCGTCTCGGCTTTTTAAAGTGTAAACAACACCAAAAACTGAAATCCTACAAATTACAATGCCCTTCAAGTGGGAGTCGGAAATATCGAAATTGCGCGTTCCAAGAACACCAAGCGAAGTCGTATTTACGAGCGGGAAACTCAGAATTCTAAGATGAACGATTTGCCAAGTTGAGACGTTGATATGGGTTTGTCGATTTGAAACCGGATGGAAACACTAATCTATATTGATAATGTCATAATCTCTTTTTATTTAGAGAGTGTGCGCAAAGCAAGTCTGTAGCAAATTGATCTTCTTTCACAGTATGCTTATTGCAAATTGATATTTTTCATCATTTTGAATTCAGTTATTTTTATATTTGGGTTATTGTTCAACATGTTTTTTCTATTTCTATGTAGTTTTGTTCCTATTTCTATGTAATATTTCTGGCTTGAATGTGAGACTTAATTTGTACTTGAAGACAACATAACGTTTTCCACCATTGTGTTTAAATGTCCATGTAAAAAAATCACAGCATTACTCACTTAAAATTGGGAGGCTTGATTGCGCTTTGGATGACGCCTGCATAAATGGCCATAATTGACAGCACCACACAGGACAGGAAGATCAAGGCCAGTTTGTTGACATATTTCACTCCAACAAACACTACCAGGGTCATGATAGCTAAACAGCATGTGCCATAAATACGCATGTTATTTTGCATCCAATATGACTCCTGCGCTTTAAACACATTGGCAGTGGGCATGATGTATGTCTGTAGCAGGGTATAAAAGGAAAGAGAAAAGTTTTTAAATTAATCAGATTTTTGAGGTTATGTAACTTGGGCAAGGAAAGGGTAAGTTGATCAAATCAGCTGACTCGAGTTAGCTCAGTGCTGACACAAACTCTTCTGCGGTGCCAAATGAGCACTGTATTTGCTCACAAGAAATTTTTAGTGTTGGTGCATAAGTTTTGACTCACCAAAAAAATTTCCATGGTTCCTAATATGTACATAGAACCTGCAAATGTGGTGCCCAGGTAGAAACACAGACCCACTGCTCCTCCAAACTCTGGGCCTAATGCTCTGGAAATCATGTAGTATGAGCCACCAGCTAAAGTGGGAAGAGAATCAAGTTGACTTGAAACAAATATGGAGTAAATAAAAATAATATATACAAGAGTGACATAACAGATTGAAATCCTACCAGGCACTACACCATTAGTCGCAATGGCACTCATTGAAATTGCAGTCAGCATGGTCTATGGATGAAGAAAAAGACTGATGTAAAACAAAACTTATATATGCTTGCTTGCAGGGTAATTATACTTTTTAGTTTAGTTTTTATTTCTATTTTACTCACAATTTGGTTTAATTTTTGTTAGGTTTCACTATCATCATCAGTTTAAATTATTTCAGGGCTTTCTAGTTTCAGATTTTGTTTTAGTATTTTAGGGCTAATGTTAAGTTAATGTAAGTACATTTTTCAGCAGGGTCTGATAATATTGCTATTCTATGTAACTTTTCACTCTAGTGGTTATTTAAAACAAAACTTCATCTTGCAGAAGAACATTGTTATATTATTACATCATTATAGTTTTATCAAAGTTTATTTGGGTAAAGACATGATTAAAGATGTATATTTTACACTCACATTAATAACATTTTGTTCATTTTTATAAAAAAAGTTACATAGTATATAGCTTTAATGCAGACTAGTAGCAATTATTTAAATTACGTTAAGTCTTAATTATTAATTAAGTTTAATAGGATACAAAAACTCAAAATGAAATTAATTTGTGATCATTTATATTTTTATAAAATTAGCTTTAGTTTATCACTGTCATGTTAATCTTCAATTTTAAAAACCCAACACCAGGCTTTGAGCAGGCCAGTAAAATTCTTCCACACACCAGACCCTGCTAGCCATATTAATCTAGATCTGTATTTGAGTCATGCTGGAACTGTTGCCACAATGTTTGAAGCACATAGTTCTATAGAATGTGTGCGTTAATCAAGATTTGTCTTCACTTGAAGAGGAAGTGTTGACATTCTTTGGGCCATGTCACATTTTTCCTTTTGTGTGTGAGACAAAATGGCATTAAAGCAATGATTGAAGAAATGCCTTCATGTGTCTTTTCACACATACTCTAGGTCTGGGGTTTTCAAAGTCAAAAACAGTGGGCCTCCCTTCGGACACAAAGTACATGATGCTGCCCTGAAACACACACACATAATTTCCATACCACAGCAAACCTAGCCTAATATGTAAATACTACAGTTTTATCAGGCTGCTGTCACTTTAAGACCAAAAGCACTTATCTAATTTTTCACATCAGTTTTCTTTCCCAACTGTTTACGTTCACTTATGACATAACCAACGGTTTTCATCTGAAGACTCGCCAAGATGGGCATTTTGACACATAAGTGTGTGTGTATTTCACTGTTCAAGCACCACACCTCCCCTGACATGCCATTGGCTCGCACCCCCCTGGGGAGGTCCACCCCACACTTTGAACTTTGAAAACCCCTGCTCTAGGTAAACCAGGTTAGTGAGTCCAAAAAAAGATCTTTTAAATTGTCAATGGGAAAAACTCACACAAGAACAGCACATAAAGATGACAGCAAGGGCCTCCAAGATTCCCGCGGTACCCACTATCCACGTGAGCCGCAGGAACAGAATTACACCCAGAATGTTCTGCATGCAGGGCAGGAACACTCCTATAAATGTTCCCATCTGAGGGCCCTTCAAACAGATTGACACACAAAGCAAAACAATTTAAGCTATGTAGGGCAAACTGAAATTCCAGCAAAATGTCTGTTGAAGCTGAATTCAATGTGTGTTTGAGTCTCCTATCATCTCAGTGTGAGTCTGGTTGGAGACTCACCTTCACGGCGACTCTCTGAATCCCATCCTCACTCTCAGCCTCCTCATGCTCGATGACCCCCTGGGTTATGTTAGTGTAGTTGGCAAGTTTGTTGAGAAGGGATGACACCATCGGAGTGCTGTCCATCTCGTCCTGTGAGTAAAGACATGGAGGAGCTAAATAGTTTAATACATACAGCAGTGTGTTGTAATTTAGTAACAAAATATAAATTAATCTCATAAGTTGAAGCATTTCATTTGAATATAAAGTGCTCCAGCAGTGATAGAGGTGTATGGGTTTCAAGCAGTTTGTTACCTCATAGAGAGCCATATTCTTGCCGTAGATGCTGTCATCATGATCTGTACTAATTAAGGAGCTGGTTTCCCTGAGGGTATCCTCACCTGGCAAATGACAGGAAACATATATTTTAGTTTAGAGAGAGGTTGATTTTCAGCGTAAAGGCTAGAATATGCTATAAGACTAGCATAATCGCTGAAGAGATTTTAAAACATTAGGCAGAATGCACTTGGTGACTTATGGTTACTGTGAAAAACTGGCGATCATAGAACTATGTGATTTTCTCTGAAATCTGTCGACTCAAACTGCTCAAAAACTTGCTCTGACTTTCAGCAACTAAATTAGACTCCTTTAAACTGCAAATCTGTGCAAAAATCTGTGCAAAAGACATGAAATGTAGGCCTACAAGTACCAAAAACAATAAAACTGAAAGTGTTAACGGTATTTGACAAGACATGTTTATTCTTGTCTTGGAAAAAAACAAAACCAGCATATTTTCACATAACTCTTCATCTGTTTTTAGTCAAGAAATAAAATTAAAACCTTTAATTTATTAGATGCTGTTGAAACAAATCAGGGTCAATCTTTGAAATAACTTTAAATAATAAGTGTTTAATGCCACTGACACTGTTTATTATGCCATGATTGTTTGCATTCACCAAGCCTAAATGTGAGAAACAAGCATTACATTTTTTTCAACTAAAAGACATGAGAGAAGGTAAAATACAAACAGATCATCAAGATAATTTTTGTCCATCCAGTATGATATGTTTAACAACTGTATGATCACGCAGAACTCTTTTAATATATTTTAATCTGTTTATATCTAAACCTAAACCCTCATAGCAGCAAATTTGTGAGCTGTACACGTCTACCGCACATGTGAATACCTTTGCCTGAAGATAAGAAACATAATGTGGCTGTAAAAATGAAATTGAAGGAAATGATTTTCCATTATATACAATTCCAAACGCTCAACAAAACACTAATTAACACTAACTAAAGTTGATTTAAAATTTTAAGCTTACTTGTACCATTGTAATGATCTTTTGATGATTCATATCAATGAGATTTAAACTCACCTATCGTCTCTGCATTCAACTCTGATTCACACTCCATGCTGAGAGGGAGACAAAGGCGTGAATGTGTCTGATAGACTAGTGAGAACCTTTTTACATAGTCTCAGTTTGATTAAAACAGGAGACACTATGCCTCAGCAAAATGCTGTACAGTCTCCTCTGACGCAAAGCTGTCTTTTGAACAGCACTACTGCAGCTGCAGTCTGTCTGTGTTCCAGCAGTTGTCCAAGTCTTGTACTTCTCGTGTCTCATTGTCTCACTCTCTCTCTCTTCTTTGCTCATTATATGGCTCTAGTAGGCTACATGCTGTATGGTGACATCAGCCTCTCCCTGCCCTCCAGTTTGTTTAGTCCTTTCTGAGGTTTAATTGCAACATCAGACTGACTGGTGGCACTGAGCGCAAGTATTATAACTATTACGCTTAACCTTAACGAATGCAAACCCCACCCCACCACACTATAAGCTCAACCCCAACTTGTGACGTATGGTTATTATTGGAGAAATGACTTGTGAGCAACTCGAGTAGGGGAGGGGAATTTCAGTTAAAACCCAGTTAGTAGGCTGAATTAGAATATGTTCAGAAAGAAACCTTGAAATCCAGTTAATCAGCATGCTAGATATCATTTGTGTTATTCCAGAAACATTTGTAGAATGAGAGGAAGACTCTCAAGTGTCTCAACATTTAAATATTTGATTGATGAGCATTTAAAGATTTCTATTTAATTAAAAACAAGCTGTAAAAAATATTTATATTTAGTTGTTTATAAGAAAGCAGATTTTTAAAATATCTACAGTATTTAATTTCAGTATTCCATTTTCACATCTTTTTCCACAGTGAGAACAGAACAATAATAGCGAAGATTCATAAAAGGCTTTCAAGGCTTATATCCTTTTCCTGTGAATTCCTTCCGTGTGGGTTGTAAGTTGTGTTTATAATCCTCTGTGCAGCTAGTTTTGTATATGAATGATGAAATCCCAAAGGGACTAATTTGTGATGTTTTGGAAAAGCTCATATATTTGTCAAGACCGGAATTGAAACGTATTACAGATTCAGCCAAATCCAGTTTTGAAAACAATGCAGGGTATACACTACAGTTCAAAAGTTTGGGGTCGTTAAGATTTTTAAATGTTTCTTAACAAGGCTGCATGTATTTTGATCAATACAGTGAAAAATAACTGTTTTCTATTTTTTCATATTATTATAAATGTAATTTATTCCTGCAATAGCAAAGCTGAATTTTCAGCATAATTATTCCAGTCTTCTGTCACATACCTTCAGAAATCATTCTGATATGCTCATTTCATGTTTAAGAAACATTTCTTCTTATTATCAATGTTGATAGTTGTGCTGCTTAATAATTTTGTGGAAATCTTGATACACTTTCAGGATTCTTTGATGAATAGAAAGTTCAAAACAGCATTTATTTGAAATATAAATGTTTGTTATGATGAATGTCTTTACTGTCACTTTTGATCAATTTAATGCATCCTTGCTGAATTAAAGTTTTCATTTCTTTAAAAAATAATCTTACTGACCCCATCCTATCTTTAACCCTGCAAAGTCTGAAATATGAAATAGTCAGAAATCTATATTTTTTTATGGAGCAGTTTATTGAACCTTAAGAAGGAATACACACAAAAAAGTTATACAGTGAGAATATGCTCACACTTGAGGAGGACAAAAAAACTAGTTTTATTCAGAGGACCAAACTGAGCAAAAATATGCAATTTGGTGCTGATGTTATTTTTATTGCCAAATGTTAGATGAAATTCTGATTGCTTGTAATGTAAGTATCAGTTGGCACTATTTTTGGAATACAATGCAATATAATGATAATTTTTTGCATTACAATGAGTCTTGAGAAATGTACAAATAAACGTTCCTCAAAAGCCTTATGTGTCATATTTTTGATGCATACATTTTAACATGATGTTTCTAAAAAAACAATGAATGGACAGTCAAATAAACCTTGCTTCAAAAGTTGCTTCAGTCCAGTATGGCTGGTATAAAGAAGCACATGATGTAGGAAATACTATAACAACTGTCTTTAATCACACTTAGGAAATGACAGGAGAATCAGCTAACACACTTAACTCACAGACGACACATGCAGAACAAAGAACAAGGAGAACTCAGGGCTTATATACAAACTTGGTAATCAAAAACAGAACCGGTGCGGGGAACTAATTAACCACCTTGGAGACTAACTAGTGAACTAATGACCGAGAACATCTGAGAACAAAACAAAGTTTTGTATAAGTATTGTATAAGTACCAAAGTATAAACAAGTCCTACTGTCTAAGTACAGGACGGAAGAATATCCTTAAATGTGGAAAGGGTACTAAATTGACGATTCTTCTTTCCTTGTCTTGGAATCATCAGAATGGTTGTGAGTTAATATTGTTGATTGTATGGTCACTGAAAAAGTTCAACATAAATATGTGTCAATTGTCTTCTTGATTGTACTGCTCAAATGTATAAAAGGCCGTCAATAGCTTAAGCTTCTGCTACTCCTTTTGAGCATCCTATTCACATTTTTATTTATTTACTTACTTATTCATTGCGCATGTATCCTTCTTTAGTTTTGCCTACTGTGCTGAACCTTGTTACTATATAGAACTTTGTGGAACCCAGATGCTCAAATAAAGAAAGGAAGAAAGAAAGAAACAAACTGAACAGAAACAACATACACGCTACAATGACCTGAAGGTGAACATTTTTACTATTGTGTTAAAAGGCCTTTTACATGTTAAAAACATATGAACTGTCAATCAGACGGTAGAAAGCATGTAGAAGATTGTGTACAACAGGTTTTTCAGCAGTTATGTCCATGTTGATGATATACAGGCCTTAGAAATTGAATTAAAGAGCTCTGCAATTGCATTCTTACTAGTAAGAACTGAATTAGAGAGCTCTCTTAATGTAATTCTTACTAGTAAAAACTGATTTAGAGAGCTATCTAATTCAATTCTTACTAGTAAGAATGCAATTGCAGAGCTCTGTAATTAAATTATAGTAAGTAGAAATTACTAAAGTTACTAGTAAGAATCGAATCAGAGAGCTCTCTAATTATAATTGCTACTAGTACGAATTGAATTGTAAAGCTCTATAATTTAATTCTTACTAGTAAAAATGAAATTACGATGAGTAAGGAGGGGTACAATTTAAGCTAAAACGGCTTGCCATAGTACCTTTGAGATTATTTGATGGATTTAGTTTTAATTAATTAATTTAGTTTTAATGTTTTATTTTGATAAAATTTGATGAATTAAACAGCTTGTAAACATACTATATCACTAGAGGAAATTAAACATAAAAGTATTATGCGATCATTTAAGTCATACAGAGCCTTTTTGGCTTTTGGCTTCAAAAGGCTTTATAGGGTTAATGAGGGTTACATTATCAACTGATAACGCAATCTATACAAAACCCCTTCACAGCCACGAGAAGGTATTTTCGCAAGCTCAGTTTCATTTAAAAAAGGAAACGGCACAATTAAACTTATTTTTGTCATGGAATGTTTTAAATAGGTCACTTTATAGGAAGAGGACAAATTCCATAATGATGAGCCACAAGCTCTGCTACACGCCCATGTACACACATAAAAAGAAAACATCTGGATTATGCAATTCTTATGTGAATGTAAATGGATAACTATAAACTTAAAGATGTTTACACCTGTTCCAATTGTGTGCCAAAAACAGAATATAAAGGATCATTGACCAATTGGCTGTTGGCACCAGACCACAACTTCTGAGAAACCGAATGCGACTTAAAATACCTGATGAATAAACTGACTCTCATTTAGCTCTGATTTAAATTCTGTCGTCATTTGCACCCTCATCAAACCCGTCTCACTTTCTTCTGTGGAACATAAAATATCATTTTCACAATGTCTCAAGGTTTTTATTGATTTATTTTTGTCCATACAATCAAAGTCAGAGCACACCAAAACTGTTAGATTACCAATATTCTTAAAATATATTTTTGTTGTGCTCCAACATGAGGATTGACATGAGGATGAATAAATGATGACAGAACTTTCAATCTCTTTAACTTTGAATGGAATCCACAAAAGAAAGAAGTTCAGAATATCCAGAATAGAAGAATAATACAAACAGGACTCTATAGTAGTACAACGTGGCTTTAAGGTCTCTTTTGCTATGCACAAAAAAGTGGTGGAACAGTGTGTAGCAATTTATCTAAAGATAAAAACTGAAAAGACGTCAGAGTAAGAGAGAAACAGGAAAGTGGAAAAGGGGCAACAGGAAACTGCCACTTGTTTACACTCCATGAGGATATGATTTCACAAACACACGGCAGTAAACAAGGCTCACATTTGCTTTTGAGGATGCACTTACAAATACACTTGTGTTTAAAAAACCAAGCCTTTAACAGGAAGCCTTTAAAAGTTCTGCTCTTCTGTTTGCACGTGTCTAGGCAGGATTTTTTTCCCCCCAGAAAGCTCTCACCTGAGTAGGGTTCTGCTACCATATCTGGCTCCTCCTTGTCCTCTTCTTTCAGTATATCTCCATCATAGTCTGGATCTGATAATGGGGTATCCTCCACTGGCACCACTGTAAAGTTGGTGGGCATTTTCCCCTCACACCATGTGCTCTGTGTTTTGTTTTTTGAGTCTTTTTCTCTCTGTCTCACCCCAAGTCTCCTGGGCTCGGCAGAGTTCGAAGTTCTCTGACTTCTTCACAACTGTTGTTCAGACGCGGCAGCCCATGTGATCTCTTTCTTCCAAATAAGGAGCATTACACAACTCCTCCCTCAGGGCGACAGGCCGTTCTGTCCTGCCACAGAGCTCTGAGCTGGTGCTTCCTGTTTTGTGTTAACTGCCCTTCTCATTGTACCTGTGAAGGCTGGGAGGGAGGTGATTGTTTGCCGTGTCAGAGTCATCTGAGACTGCACAAAGTGATGGGAACAAAAGGCTTAACACAATGTGGCATTCCTCAACCCCAGCCCAATTCCCTACCCCACCCCCTCCTGACGTTCCTAGCCTCAAAGGAAACGTGCGACAATCCCTCCATTCAGGAACCTTTAGGACTGGAGAGGAGTTAATGCTGAAAATAACTGTTCCTGAAAAGACTACTGCAACTGCATGAATTTTAGGTGGACACTATCCCTTTGCACAACAAATTTGAATGTCGATCAGTCAGATTCTTCTGTAAGCATGTGTGTGTGCTTTTATTTGAAATATGCCTTGACAATGACTTGTTCTGTTTTCTGCTTCAAGGTGTGTGCACAAGCATACCGTGACACGACTGATGGATACACGCTGACAACACGTCCATCAGTCATGTGAGAGTGGGTGATAAGGGTCTCAACAGTGGCATTTTGCTGAATTCACAGGAACAACCTGCATAGCAGCTGGTGAAACCTACTGTTGTGACTACAAACTAAGTTTGTTCTGTGGGGTCCAGCACATGATCACAACTATGAGTATGGAAAATATTTTGTTGTTAGCAATTGACTATAATACTTTTTCAGTGAAAAGGTTTTTTTTTTTTTCATGCTTACATTTCATGCCCTCTGTGGGTTGAAGGACTATAGTACCCCCCCCCCACCCCCACACCATCCCATGTGATTGACTGTGCAACCAGCAGGTGGCAGCAGATACAGTTTTTGGGCTCTTGCAGAAGTTTCCAACTCCAGCACAAAAAAAAACCTACAGAACTTTCATTAAGGTGAAATAAAACGGTATGGAAAAATATTAAAGTAACCATAAACTACTAGAATGTGCTTCTTCTAAAGAAACTGAACACAATATAAACTGGAGTTTTCAGTTTAGTCTGTCTCTGTCCTATATGGAGTATTAAAAGCTGTAGGCCTACATTGCACATACACTCACCGGCCACTTTATTAGGTACACCTGTCCAACTGCTCGTTAACACTTAATTTCTAAGCAGCCAATCACATGGCGGCAACTCAGTGCATTTAGGCATGTAGACATGGTCAAGACAATCTCCTGCAGTTCAAACCGAGCATCAGTATGGGGAAGAAAGGTGATTTGAGTGACTTTGAACGTGGCATGATTGTTGGTGCCAGAAGGGCTGGTCTGAGTATTTCAGAAACTGCTAATCTACTGGGATTTTCACGCACAACCATCTCTAGGGTTTACAGAGAATGGTCCGAAAAAGAAAAAACATCCAGTGAGCGGCAGTTCTGTGGGCGGAAATGCCTTGTTGATGCCGGAGGTCAGAGGAGAATGGCCAGACTGGTTCGAGCTGATAGAAGGGCAACAGTGACTGAAATAACCACTCGTTACAACCGAGGTATGCAGCAAAGCATTTGTGAAGCCACAACACGCACAACCTTGAGGTGGATGGGCTACAACAGCAGAAGACTCCACCGGGTACCACTCATCTCCACTACAAATAGGAAAAAGAGGCTACAATTTGCAAGAGCTCACCAAAATTGAACAGTTGAAGACTGGAAAAATGTTGCCTGGTCTGATGAGTCTCGATTTCTGTTGAGACATTCAGATGTTAGAGTCAGAATTTGGCGTAAACAGAATGAGAACATGGAACCATCATGCCTTGTTACCACTGTGCAGGCTGGTGGTGGTGGTGTAATGGTGTGGGGGATGTTTTCCTGGCACACTTTAGGCCCCTTAGTGCCAATTGGGCATCGTTTAAATGCCACGGCCTACCTGAGCATTGTTTCTGACCATGTCCATCCCTTTATGGCCACCATGTACCCATCCTCTGATGGCTACTTCCACCATGTCACAAAGCTCTAATCATTTCAAATTGGTTTCTTGAACATGACAATGAGTTCACTGTACTAAAATGGCCTCCACAGTCACCAGATCTCAACCCAATAGAGCATCTTTGGGATGTGGTGGAACGGGAGATTCGCATCATGGATGTGCAGCCGACAAATCTGCGTCAACTGTGTGATGCCATCATGTCAATATGGACCAAACTCCCTGAGGAATGCTTCCAGCACCTTGTTGAATCAATGCCACGAAGAATTGAGGCAGTTCTGAAGGCAAAAGGGGGTCCAACCCGTTACTAGCATGGGGTACCTAATAAAGTGGCCGGTGAGTGTAGTTAAACACCTTGACCTGCACTGTGATAAGACTCTGATAAGAGCTTTTTTTTGTAGATTGGCTCTAAACAAAAACCCCAAATCAAGTTGAATCGTGCTGAACAGAAAGGCTTATTTGAAATGACCTTTAACAATTCATAGTTTATCCTTCTGTTTAATACTTTAATTTGGCTGTCAACCAGTCATGAATTCAAATAATATGGTAGCCTATTGAGAGTGAGGAGTCACATGCCAATTTGGGCGGGGTCTGAGCCGGTCGGCCATGATGGTAGGCTCGGTTGCCAGGGGCAACGCCTTCAGAACTTCACAGAGGCGTGACTAAACATTCCAGAAATAGCGAAAGAGAGACAGCGCAGCTTAGTATGTTTACATTTTAGCGATACGCCGCAGTTTCTATGGAAGATATGGAGTAGAAGGAAGAGAAATGAAAGGGGTTCTACTAAATAACAATGCTAGCCAGCTTTATTTGAGAAACTGCTTGTCAATAAACTGACAGCAGCAACAGCGAGCAAAGCATGATTTCAAAAGCAACACATTTCAGCACAGTTCACCTTTTATTTAACACAAACGAACAAAATGAATACTCTGTTATTCAACTAGAGTTGTTTAATTTGTTATAGATATGGAAGCTCTAGCGTTAAGTTCTGCCAGGAAGACTCAATTGCTACGTCACTTATTACCTTCTCATCTATACAATCGTGTCTAAGACTTGTGGTATAAAAGACCAGTACTTACACATGTCTGAGTTCGCAGATGCTGACGCTTTCATGCAGATTCAGCTGTTAAGCTCAGTAGTAGAACCAAACCATGTCTCAGGACACGCAATCAATTCGTGATTATTCCGATTCAGAGGATTTCGTTCAGCCATCTCCTTCTGCTTCACGTCGCAGTACCCGTATTCAATGCCGCACCTCTTTATGGGCGAGTTGGTCTTCCGAACTCATCCTAAACGCTCTCGAGGACGCCGGCATCCCTGTTAGCGAAGGAATTTCAAGAGAAGATCTTCTGCTCTTAGCCCAGAATGCTCTGGGCAATCCACCTGCATCTACTCCTCATCCAGATGCCGCTGTGACCACCGCCCAGCCGAAAAAAGCCAGTGGTAAAAGATCAGCAAAATCCACATCTCGCTCAGCTAAACGCCCAGCTCTACCGGCACAAGAGATATCTCCTCCGCATTCAGCTGTCTCTCTCGATACTAATCAGCTGCTTCTTTCTGCTGTTCACGATTTATCCCAAACGGTTAAAGGGTTACAGTCTAAGATGTCGGTTTTCGAAAATTCTTTTGGCATCCCTGACCACAGCCCAGATCCCATTACAACCCGGCCTTCATTTTCCGGTAGCATCTCAACAAACATACCTTCTACATCGGCCTCTCTGCCCGCTCCTCTCCTTGGGATTCAGTCGTCATCTCAAAATGTCTCAGCTCCACCGGCTTCTCCCAGCTTTAATCTCTCCTCATCTATACCAGCTCAAGCTTTTGGTAGGAGTTTCGTTCCTCCCGCTGCTGCTATAGTATCTCCACATCTCAGGTCAAATATTATCCAAGGTAAGGATATCAACTTGGCTTCCTTACTTCTCCCTTCGCCAGCTGCTGACAGAAAAATGGTGGACTATGGTGACGTGGCAGTGCTCCTCAAAACTTCAGACCCGCGTTTGCAACGCAATTTATCGTTCGGAGAGTTCGTAATCGCCTTTAGCATTTACAGGGACACCCTATGCCAAGTTTTCCCAAATAGAAGGGAAGAGCTTGACCTTTATCTTTCGATGATGGCAGACTTTAACCAAAGGTACGGAGGCACTTTATTTTACGAGTACCATAAATCATTTTCTGCTAAATCCGCGTCTTGCATTTCACTCTACAATTCAAGACTTGACTGGTCGATCACTGACACTGAACTACTAGTTCGTCACTTCGGCGGTCAAAGAAGTTTGTCGTGTTCTATCTGCAGCGCTCACGGACACTCAGCCGCTCTCTGCCCGAAAGCTTTTACCAACCTTGATTCGGACGCTGTCCGTGGTTCTGTAAATGTAAGACGCAGCTCCTACAGCAGAGGTCGCCTGCTGAAACATTTTATGACAATCCCATTTGCAATTTGTTTAACGAATCTGTGTGTTCATTGAATAATTGTCGTTTTGCTCATATTTGTAGCCTGTGCAAGGACCCGCACCCAAGATCTGTCTGCCCACGGCGATACAAACCTCAAACCAAAAAGAAAGCCCCTTTTCAGAAGAAATTCTGAGAAAACATCCATCCACACCCATCAACATCCAAAACCTCTCTAGCTACCTTTCTTCTCACCCCGATCCATCATTTGTTGACTATCTCATCACTGGTTTGTCCCAAGGGTTTAGGGTGGGGATACTCTCACCTCTCACCGCATCTTTTTCAGCAAAAAACTTGCAATCAGCTATGAACGAGCCCGGCGTCGTCTTTACTCTGCTCGAGAAAGAAGTCAATAAAGGCTATGTTATCGGCCCATACGCCTCTCCTCCTTTTTCCCCTTTTAGGATTAACTCTATTGGCGTCGCTACCCGTAAATACTCCGGCAAAAAAAAACGTCTCATTTTCGACATGTCTTCCCCTCATTCCAGCATAATACCAAGCGTTAACGAATGCATTCCGCTAGAACCATTCTCCCTTCACTACGCCTCGGTGGACAACGCAATACAGTTAATCAAGCTAGCTGGTCATGGCGCTTGGCTGGCTAAAGCAGACATAACAGACGCTTTTAAAATCATGCCCATACACCCTGCTGACTGGCCACTCTTCGGCGTTAAATGGGATTCAAAGTTCTATTTTGCAGTAAGGCTTACTTTTGGGTGTAGGAGCAGCC